TCCCTCATAGTGGGGTGATATTCCCTCCAGACATTTGGCATTTAGGACAAGATTTGAGTGTCCAGCCATTAATAAGATGCCATGTGTATCAACCATTCCCAGTAAATGTGATAGGAATTGAGTTTGGGGTGTAGTAGGTCACTAACGTTATTTCTAGGGATATACCGACACTAGTATCGGTGCCAATGCTGAGTATTTGGGGGAGTACTCGCACTCGCACAAATGCTCCGATGCTTAGCCCGATACTTCCGGTATCAGGCACCGGGCAGTGAGTCATTACACGCTGCCCAGCTTCCTAAATGGCCCGGGAAGCCGGCTCCATGCTCCCTCGTCACTTGTGAAGAAAGAGCATAAAGCCGGCTTCCCGGCCAAATCAGGAAGCCAGGCGATGTGTAATGACACGTTGCTCGGCTTCCTGATTGGCCAGCTTCTTGGCCAATGAGGAACTGGGCAACTCATCATTACACTAGGTGACGGGGGAGCATGGAGACGGCTTCCCTGCTAATTGGGAAGCCCAGGTGGCAAGTCTTTACATGCCACCTGGCTTCCTTTAATGGGACTCCTGTTATCGGTATTCGGTATCGGCGAGTACCGAAAAACCGGTATCTGTGCATCCCTAGTTATTTCTACATCAAAGATTGTGCCGCGTAGTAGGTATGTAACCGTGGGGTCCGCTATCTCTAGGGAGTATTCTTTAGGAATGCAATCTATGGAAGGCAATCGGAACACCTCTTTTCTTCTCGCGAAAATGGGCTTGATGAAGGTAATGTTTCTGGAGATAAAATGAAATGCAAGTCTGCATTTTTGAGGTCAGTTAAGCACACTGAGGAAAATGAGGTGAAAAGGGTGGGATGTCATGTTTGGTGTGGGTAGGAAGGAGATCGTCTAAAAGCATATTTCAATAATATCCAAATGTCCCTATGTAAACTAAAAAGAGAGCTCAGTACCATCGAAACAGAGAAGAATAAGGGTAGGAAAAGAAGAGAAAGATGGACAGTATGGAGAAAAACAACCATTGAAAACATTTAACAACATATAAAGTGCAAATGTTCAACATTCCAAAAAGGTATTTCTAAGAGGTTTCTGTGTAATTAATACACTCACCAGACTACTTTGACCACTATTAAATGGTCAAACTGCACTCAGATTCAAATCCTTAGCAAGCCGCTCTCCCAGGACAGCTGATGGCAACCTCCTTTGCAGTCAATATCTCCTTTCAGTTTGCTGGGTTTTTTTTTTTTTTAAACTGTTGGTGGGTTCAAGTTGTTCCAATTCCTGTCAATCCACCTTCTAAATGGCCAATATTAGCCTCCTCCGCACATTTCTCCTTGTAGTTCATTCAGCGCCCCATGGAAAAAAATGTAGACGCCACATAGTGTGAAATCCTTAAAAACTTTTAATTATAGATTCTTTAAAAACTGACATTCAAGGTTTAATAGGCAGAGCTGTATAATTCCTCCTCTGGCAAACAACTTCTCCCCCAGTGATCAGCTTGATGACATCAGCGTGTTAACTCCTCCTTGACATGTTTCGTCATGAAGACTTTTTCAAAAGGTAGTCAATGGTTGTAACTGTGGAGCAATACTATGCAGTAATCCAGTAGGCAGGGGGTGCCCAATCCACCTGGGCGTGGAGTGCAAATAGCTCCAATACATTGCATGCACAACGTACAAAAGAGTATTAGGTTATGGAGAAAAATAAGGTCAAGTGAAGGAAAAAGAATGGGGAACTAGAGGGAGGGATAAAGAGAGTATAGTCTCCTATACTCCCTTTGCCCAAAGGGCAACAGGATAGAGGGAAAAGGTCAGTAGGCTGTCATTTTATACTTAACGATACTCAGAAGAATACACGATAGCCAGCATGATAGTGAATAACAAAGTGCCCGGCACCATACGATGCTACTCTTTCAGGGTTATTCACAAAAGGGTGAAGAGTTTGGAGAAGGCAGGAAAAGTGAACAATCTAAGACAACATAGCTGAACTGGACAATGAGCTGAATTGGAGAATTTGTCCAAATCAGCTATTTTGGCCTAGATTGTTCACTTCTCCTGCCTTCTCCAAACACTTCACTCTTTTGTGAATAGCCCTGTTTGTGTTAAAGAAATCAGCTCTTATAACACCGGACAAACACGTTCGGCTAAACTGATTTCGGATAAAACAAGACATAGACTCCACACAGCCCAGTATGGAACCCACGCGACCACCTGAGAGTCTGCACAGCCCAGCATAGACCCCGCACAGCCACCTGAGAGTCCACTCAGCCCACCATAGAATCTGTACAGCCACCTGAGAGTCCAAACACCCCAGCATAAAACCTGCACAGCCACCTGAGAGTCCGTATAGCCCACCATAGAATCTGCACAGCCACCTGAGAGTCCACACACCCCAGCCACCTGATAGCCCGCACTATTAAATTAATTGCCATTATTTTTCCTAGATTTCTACTTTCAGAGCTAGTTCTTAAGTTATTGCTAAAACCAGCAAAAAATCGAATGCAGAGGCAATTATTTAATATGATGAAGAGTAGAAACATTTATATAGTCTTACAGCCGGCCCTTTGAGGGCAACCATAATGTTGGTGCTGCCCGTGATGAAATTGAGTTTGACACCCCTGATATAAGCAAACATAAAAATGCAGACCAAAAAAAAGTAGGTCAGATTATCTGCATAATATCCAGATAAAATATTAGGAAGTTTCTAAGAACCACTAGTGCAAAAATATAAGACATATCAAGAGTCAACAAAAATAACCAGTTTTGGAAACCAAAGGGAAATATGAGTGGAAAAAAGCAATGCTAAAGGAGGAAGTCCTCTAACATTGCCTTCTCGGACTTCGGACAGGTTTTACACAGAGGAGTCTTTGAAGAAATCTCTTGGGAAAGGGTTTTCTTCCTTTTGCCAGAAGGAGGGCTTGGGCCCCAACTTTGGTATTGGATCCCATCCAAAGAGAACTGGGCAGTTGATGCACAGTTCCAAGCAAAAAGAATGGCAGGCCTCCTGGAATTCTGAGAATAGCACTGTTCTCATCTCTTGTAACAGAGAGGCTAAAGGGAAAGCCCCAGCGGTAAGGTATGTTGTTATCACAGAGTCAGAAGTGGTTGGAGATGTCTTCTTTGTTTTAAGGTAACCCAGGATAGATTTGAATAGGTGCTCCATCTATTTCAAGTGAGCACATGTTGTGTGCTTTTAGTAGAATTTCCTACTTGACATTATAATAGTGTAATCTACACATTGGGGAAAGAGAGACCCCAAGGAGGTACGGCTCTATCTAACTCTGTTTTGTTAGTAGAATGTTTGCCCAAAATGTTATTGAAGATGGATTGCAACACATCACGGAGATCCTTGGTTCCAGTGGCCTCCGGGAGACCTTTGATTCTAAGATTATTGCATCAACATCTTCAAGGTGTCTGTGAAGATCACGGATAGTTGAGGCTTGGGCAATAAACTGGGAGTCCTTGGCATCTATGTCTGAGGAAGAGTGAGAGCAATCAAGGACATTAGAATTGCCTTTGAAGGTGCTGTAGCGATTTTAGTTTCTGAGAGCCAGAGGGAAAGTCATTTAGAAAAAGATCTGAAAGCTCCTCAGGAGGAGCCGTCCAATGGTTCAGATGATTGGGTCGGTGATAGAACGGATCAGAAGAAGCCCACTCCACCATCTAATCTTGGTTGCACATGTGTCGAGCACTAGAGTCCCTGGATCTAGGGACTCTAGTCCCAGCATGCACACAGGGGGTGCATGCTGCACACCCCAGAGTGGGGGTGGGGCTGTGCATACCGCACGTACTGGAGCGTGGGGGGAGCTCCTACCTGCAGTGGATGGGGTAGAAGGGGAGGAGGGAGAGAGACTGTCACCCAACATACAAAAATTGTCATCGTCTTTGACTCATTGTATAATTTACTGTTAGCATTTCCACAGTTGCCTGCTGTTCCTAGATGTTCCTACACACGGAGCTGTTGCTACATGTCCACAGATATATAATCAATGCTGACCTGACACCACCATAAACATGTCCGTAGATCATGTATTAGTATAATTGATTCACAGTATAATGTGACTAACCCTCTGGACTGGACCCAGGACTCTGCAATGCGCTGGACTCAGGACTCTGCAACGCGCTGGACCCAGGACTCTGCAACGGGCTGGACCCAGGACTCTGCAATGCGCTGGACCCAGGACTCTGCAACGCACTGGACCCAGGACTCTGCAACGCGCTGGACCCAGGACTCTGCAACGCGCTGGACCCAGGACTCTGCAACGCGCTGGACCCAGGACTCTGCACCGCGCTGGACCCAGGACTCTGCTACACACTGGACCCAGGACTCTGCAACGCGCTGGACCCAGGACTCTGCACCGCGCTGGACCCAGGACTCTGCTACACACTGGACCCAGGACTCTGCAACGCGCTGGACCCAGGACTCTGCAACGCTCTGGACCCAGGACTCTGCTACACACTGGACCCAGGACTCTGCAACGCACTGGACCCAGGACTCTGCAACACACTGGACTCAGTACTCTGCAATGCACTGGAACCAGGACTCTGCATAACCCATTCGTTGAAGAATTAACTCCTTGACAGCACATTTGATCGATCAAGAAAAGCACATTTTATCCGACACCTGTCACCTTTGTTACAAGGAAGTGGGCGAGCTTAAATACTACCAAGAAGTGATAGTGCTTTACCCCATCCGAACAACACAAGAATTGGTATGTAGAAAGATTTCAGAGGCTGCACATTTTACATGGCACCAGCTTTTTTAGCCAGCGTTGCGTCAATGATCCACTGCTTTCTTAGGTACAGAGATCTTGTCTAAGACCACATTTAACATGACCACTATGTCCTTGTAATTCTCTTTGTTACAGCATGGAGATTGCACTGGATAATAGAGTAGCCATGGGAAAGACGGACAGATGCATGTAATAAATGCACTAGAGTCTATGTTTTTGTACTTTAGTGTAATAAACAAGTAAATGTTTTTAACAGTTGATATTTCCTTCTTAGATGGTTAATATCTATGATGCAAAATCTGAACAGCTCAATATTGGGCCTTATTCCTGGACACCATTCCCAAACATTGATTTCTGGCTGGAGCAGGAAGATGAACAGATTTTACAGGTAAGTTAAAGAAACTAAATGTCTACCATTTCTCATAAAACTGTGCAACAGTGCTAAATTTACAAAGTCACTTTTGTTCACCTTTTTCCTGAGTTTTTATAATCCTGTCTAGCCAAATTCAGCAAGCTTTACACAATGCTTTTTGTAGGATTAAAGCTTGTCACAACACAGCTTGTGCCATACACAAACCGTTAAAGAGTACAGAAGGCTGTGCTCGGAATCAGTGAACACTTGCAGGGGTATTCACAAAAGGGTGAAGAGTTTGGAGAAAGCAGGAGAAGTGAACAATCTAGGACAACATAGCTGAACTGGAAAGTGACCTGAATTGGATATATTTTCACATTCCCAATTATTTTGGAAAATAGAATTTCTCGCTCAAATCTGGCCCTCTCCCCCGCTATACTTCTCTTTTTATGAACAGTCTTTCCACCTCCGACATTACGGGTGTACTGCTGTCCAGCACAGCCCTGCACTATGGATTTTTTATTTCGCTTGTAAGTATCACCAGATCACTTGTAGCAACATGCTGTGCTCGATCTTCTGTAATGGAGGGCAGGCTGCATAAAGGGGACCTGTCACCTCCAAACGCTACCACATAGGGGCTTGTTAGCTCCTGTGTCATAGCAATAAAGTTAAGTGAAAAAAAGTGATAAAGTACAAAATAATAAATATAAATAAGTAATTAATAAGTAAAAATAATGAAATAAAATTAAAAAACAATGTGCATCCAAGCGTAAGTTCATTTTCCCAATTATTTTTGGAAAAAGGAATTACCCACTCAAATAGGGATGTCCCGATACCACTTTTTCAGGACCAAGTACAATTACTTCCCCGCATGTACTTGCTGGTACCAATTACCGATACTTTTTTTTAAAGGGACAGGTGACTTTACATGATCCATAGTACAACTACATGTTATGTACTATGGATCATGATTTAACCTATACATGTTAGCAGGGGAGAATTGTAAATCTATTGCTGGAGTGTAGTGGAGGTGTGTGCTGTATATATGTACTACATATACATTACATACGTCCAGTACGCTATAGCAATAGATTTACAGCCAGCCCCGTCCCAGCTTCCCTCACTCACAGTTTCACTCCGATCCCTGTTGCCTCACTTGGTGCCTCTCGTAGTCGGCGATGGGCAGGATCGCTGCATCGCGTCTCGGTGCTCAGCTTGTGGGAGGCGCTGACAATTCTGCCCTGCTAACATGAATAGGTTAAATCATGATCCACAGTACATATACAGTACACACGTCCAGTACACTGCAGTCTGCAGCAATATAATTACAATTCTCCCCTGCTAACATGAATGGGTTAAATGATCCATAGTACAAAACATGTAGTTGTACTACGGATCATTTAACCTATTAATATTAGCAAAGGATAATTGTAAATCTATTACTGCAGAGTAATATGTACTGTCTGTTATGTACTACATATAGAATACGCACTGCAGTAATAGAGTTACAATTCTCCCCTGCTAAAATGAATGGGTTAAATGATCCATAATACAACTACATGTTATGTACTATGGATCATTTAATCCATTCATATTAGCAGGGGAGATTTGTAAATCTATTGCCTGCAGTGTGTACTCTATATAGATTTAAAATTGTCCTCTGCTAATATTAAGAGCTTCAACATAGGGGCCCCCCTTGCCCTCACTCACTGTTCGATGATGGTGCCTCGCTGGTGAGGTCGTCGTCGGTGCTGTGCGGGAGAGCAGCGGCGAGTCAGCGCTGGTCCGGTGGGAGGAGCTCCAGGTGGGGTCCTAATTTAGCTGGCCAGCGACTGCCCGATCGCCTGCCAGCTAAATTAGGACCCCACTTGGAGCTCCTCCCACCGTGCCAGCGCTGACTCGCCGCGGCTCTCCCGAACAGCAGCCGGAAGGTAAGAAAAAAATAGTGCACGCTTCGGCGCTTTGTTTTGGGGCATTTTGACAAGTACTTGTCAAAATGCCCTGTATCGGTCCCGATACCGATGCTAGTACCGGTATCGGGACATCCCTACGCTCAAATCTGTCTCCTTCCCTCGCTATACTTGCCTTTAAAAAGTCTGGAAGTGACAAAACGCGAGTTGAGAGGAGTCTGCTAGAGATCTTTTTTATGATATTTCACTCCTGTTTGGACTGCTGAGTGGAGTTTCACCTGTAATTTGTGTAAGATTTTATGCAGATGTATACTATTTAAATGTAAGTGCACTAGTTTTTAAATGATTTGTTTAAATAAATGATTTTACGATATGATGTCTTTTACTGTCCTGTTTATGAGGAAATACTGAAAGTCAGCTTTTCACTGATGCCATTCATCCTGTCTGGGTGAATGGCATCGCTGGGCAGCCAGAGAGGCAGAGGCAAAATCCTGAAGCCAGGTTTCAGTATCTGCAAGTCTTTTAACCTATTTGCAGTTAAAGTGGTCGTGGATAGAGGTGAGCTTGTTACAGACTGAGTGAGCGTTCCAGAGTGCACATAAGATGAGGCGACTGGATCTTGGGAACAAAGTTATACTGCTTGGATTGCAGCTGCTGCCAAGAGGAAGAAGGCTGTTGGGTGTGCTGAATAAATCTAGATTGTGGGGGGCCAGGATTAGGGGGGATATCCCCAGAAAGCTGGAGAAGGAAGAGGTCACAGAGAAGTGAGAAGGTGAGTTAGATTTACAGGAATGTACATGCTCTAAAGTCCTGGAGGCTTTGCCAGTATGTGGGTTCCGGATAAATAGAAGTTGATGGATGCAGTAACAGGGAGAGGGCAGGAATGAGGGTGATATGTATATGCAGTGTGGAGTTTAAGTTTAAATATAGAGGATATTTGTGTGAGAAGGAGAGGAAGAGAAAGCATGTTAAAGGCAGGATGGAGTTAGAAGCAGAATAGGAATAGAAAAGCAGGTAGTAGAAAAGAGATTTAGTTAGAGTAATCGCCCTGTAATTACTATTGCCCAATTTTTAAATCGCTATGCCTGCAATTGGGTATGCATTATCTGAAATTATTAAATCTAGTATACCATTTATCCCGATTGGCACCTCCACCATCTGTTCCATGAAATTGTCCTGCAGCAAGTTTAGGAAATGGCAAGCCTTGGTTGAGTGAGTGGGTTCCTTTTGGCCAATCAATTGGATAATTGATGTCACCCATTATAACAACATTATCCTGCTTCCCAGCCATTTCTATTTGTGAATGGAGTTGAGTCACCTCCTCTTCCCACAAACACCCACAATCAATCTTGTCTAGACGGCGCGTATATGCACATTTTCACATACTCCTCCGCCCTTTTACCAACCAAGTCCTTCCTAAACAGGTTGTTGTAACGGACCTAGGGCTGCAGAAATGTATTACCCCGGATAACTTTGTTTGCTGTGTGTGTTTTCCTGTTTAATATTTTATCTAGAGAGAGCATGTCACAATTTGACTTGATTTAAACCAGGACTTCCTTCTTGGATACTATCGCTGCTAAACGTATTTTTGTGAAGGCAGCAGGCTGTCTGGAGTGGTCATTGTTTGGGATGATGTGATCAAGCTCTCATCTAATTAAGGACATTAATTTCAAAGAGTGTCTGTGCTTAAGGAATTCCAATGCAGGCACCCGGCTGTCTAGGGGTGGGAACTGTTCAATGTAACACACTAAACTCTTATCTGATTCTGTGAGGTATAAACTCTGTGTGCTTTCTTCAATAAACCAGTTCATGTTTCCACTCCCAAGTCAGTGTCTGATTCTTGGGGTAAGCCAATGCTATATTCACTTGCTTTTGGCTCCAGCACCCAGGGAACAGGCTTAAGACGGAGATATCCAGTCGGGGTATCAGGGAGTCCGTCACAGTTGTATCCTTGTATTTTTCCTGTCCAGTCATGAGAGTTGTCTAGCCAAGTTTCAGTTATTCCCACTAAGTCGTAGTCGTCCTCGAGTAGCATAAGTTCGAGCTCCTCCAGTTTGTTAGACTGTTCGCATTTGTATACATACATTTTAGTTTGGTGCTAGTATTGTGTGTTTGTTTTATTTTTGCTTATTCCTGAGGTGCAACTATGTGCTCGCCTTGGTACGGTTTGTTCATTACTAATTTGATTTTCTGGAGATAGCCCTTATATTACACTTGTCTACATTAAGTCCCCCTGTAGCCCCTTGCTTTCCGTTAATCAGCCGTTTTTTTTATTCCCTCCCCCCCATATTCTCATTTAAAAACTGCTCTAGTTGTCTAAATATTTTCTCCCCTAAAAGTGCTGCTCCCTCCCTCTTTAGATGAAGCCCATATCTACTATAGAGCTGGTAGCCGAGAGAAGTCAGCCCAGTTTTCCATGAACCCAAACCCCTCTTTCCTACAGCAATTCCATCGCCACTTGTTTAATTCTCAACTCCTACGTCTCCCTGGAGTGGCACTGGCAGTACTTCAGAAAATACTACCTTGGAGTTTCTTTGACCTTGCACCTAAATCCTTGAAATACATTTTTTATGGCCTCATTTTGTCATTAGTACCATGACAACCTGGTCTTCCCCAGCCCCACCAATAACCTGTTCACCCATTCCGTGATGTGTCGAACCCTAATGCCCAGTAAGCAGCAGACTGTTAGACACCCACAGTCTCGTAACAGATTACCCTGTCAGCCCTTCTGATAATGGAGTCCCCCACCACCAATATCTGTCTCTCCTCTCCAACCTTTGAGGTGGTGCAGTTACTCCCTTGGTGTTCAAGGGAAGCGTCCGGTTCAACCAATGCTACTCCTAAACTAATATCCCCAACCAGGCATAATTATTGGGGTGTGTCAATTCCAGGCTAGCCTCTCTTGCGCTCTTCCTTCTACCCCACCTTCTAACAGTAGCCCAGCTACCCACCTCCGGATCCTGTACCTCTATGTCCTGTCCTCTATGTCCTCTTATGTCCTATGCCACCCACCACCAAAACCTGATGAGTCAGATCCAAACTCTTTTCCATGTTGTTAATACTCTGCAGTGTTAACAACATGGATTCATTAGATCTAGAACCTGGGCTTCAAAACAAACTACTTGC